AATCATGTTGTTTCAAGTTTCATACTGAAACTCCCCTTTCAAGTTTTACAATATCACAAACCATACAATACATATAAATTTGGCACATATCGAACATTGAAAAAATTAGCGTCGAAATTGTAATTCACCAGCCCTTTGTCAGCCCGTTCTTCCAAGCAGTTAAACCTATGTTTTGTTTGACTGTTTTTATCAAGAACGTTTTGAAAGTTCTAGAAAATTAATTTTTGTTAAACCAGATTCTTAAGTTTTCTAAGCCAGCTCGATTCTGAGATGAAGAGCATCCTAGAGCACTGAAGTTTATATCAACAAGAAAAGTATATTTTTCTTACGAACACTGGGTGAGTCATTTATAATTAAAACAAACAATAACGGATCCAAAAAACCCTCAGAAACGCCATCGATAACATGTTTCCTGGAATGACTAATTCCCGATGTTTCAACACGCTGCTGACGATTGCAAAGAGAACTCATCGGAACCTTTGTTTTGTATCATTAAGTTTTGCCAAACAAGAGTAGTTTATGGTAAAAGAGTCAAAAGCTTCGTTTTTAATGTCTGACTGTTCCGTGACTACTTGTAATACGCCCAAATGGTCTTTTAGGCATAGGTCTTCTATCAATTTTGCTATGAAGGTTTCTCATTCTATCGAGAAATTTGGCAATTTTTCTTTTCTTTACGCATCTTAAAGCAAGTGAAACACGTTTGCCGTCATGAGTTCTGCGGAAAGTTTTCCCTGCCTTAACGATTAGTTCATCAAACAGATAATATCACCAGATGACATTTTGTTTGGCAACTGATTAATATTTGTTAAGTTCCACTGCATGATGTGCTTTTATTCAGAGAAAGAAAGAAGAGTTTCTGTAAACTGATTCGTTTATTACACAAGCAAAGCTTGTGTTTCAGTATGAACTCTCTTTTTTTTTTCAATCTATTAGTGTTCATTTTGAAAGTGCTCATTTTGGTCAATAACCAGCTGTTAAGCACAGCCAATGCTAAGGAAAATAACACAGACTACTATATTACAAATAGCACTTGAGCTTCAAGGTATCATGGATCTTAAGCGTAGAGGTAAGGAGGGAGGCCCGCATCAAAATAAGAGAGTTTGATTCTGGGCAGGGTCGGATATTTTTAATTAACTTTTTCGTATACTAGTTAAAATGCGTACGCTCTATAAATTGAGGCATGTTACTTGGTAAAGAAGTACTTTTTTCAAATTGACTGGTACTGCGAATGCGTCATAATTGGCTTGCGTCACTTAGCAATTATGTAGAGTCATAATTGGCGTGTGTCACTCATGAATTTTTGTAGACTCAAAGTTTCAGTTGCGTTATCTGTCATATTTTTGCTTGTATATGCGAAGTGCAACTTTGTCTGTATTGAACTTCTTTTTTTGAAAGCAAGTGCCCATCACTTGAACAAAAATCAAGTATAGTGATTAAAAACTTGGTTGATCATCTACCTTTTTAATCATTAAGAATCCTTGAAGTGTGTCTTGAATCTTCGATGCAATAATTCAATTTTTAATTATAAAAAGCCTTTTGTTAAAACGGACTGATACTAACGTAATTAAAATGTTTAGATTTGCTTTATCCTGCTGTGTCCAATTTTTTTGCAGTCGATTTCTTTTGGATATCAATTTCTTTGTAGACCATCGGGGAAGCGTCAAATATCGGGTAAGCGTCAAATAAAGGACTTGAAACTTATTGAAGCTACCCTCAGCATTTTTGTTAAAATAAGCTCTTGGAGCAACCAGCTATGTTTGTGATTAATGATTCTCTGAGATTGGTTTGAAGACAGTTCATTTTAGAATATTTTTTTTGTCATTAAATTTTCCGTGATTCTTCAATTGGAGACAAAAACAATTTGCTCTCAAACAGCCGTGGGATTTTTTGGCTTCCGGCTTTTTTTTTTATTTTTGGACACTTGGGGACTTCATTCATCAATTGGTCGTTTTCGTCTATCATTACACTTGCGAACAGGTAGTGTTATAGTACGACTTATTATTTTTTCTAAATTAAGTCACAAATATTGGTGCCACTTTTGGGGCACCTTTACAGCTTTTTGACAGCATGTGCTTGGACATTCGATTAGTTATAAGGTAACACAGTTGATGCAGTTCTCATTGTTCAAATGAACCGACAAAAGCCATTTGCTTCCAATATAATATCAATACAATAATAAAAACTCTATTTCAGACATTTTCTAACTCAATTTTTCTCGTTATTTATTGAAATGCATAATTTTTTCACAGTGTAGTTTTACGTTTTCGTAAACTTGTGAGAGCAAATGTTTTGTAATCTGTTCCTTGACTTTTTCCTATAAACAACTTAGGCCTGGGGTTCGAGTCCCGGCTGGACCTTGTTTTCCGTGAAATATTGCCTTGCCGGCCTATTGCTTGTCGGCTTATGCTTTGCCGGCTTAGTTGCAAGTTTTCAAAAAACAAGTCAGTATTTTTTGTGTTATTACTTGCGTTTGTTGATTCTTTTCCAACTGTCTTTTGGCTCTGTTTTTTGCTATGCCGTTATAATTTTGAAGTTGATTCAAAGACCAATGATATTTTGAATTGTGCTTTAATGGCTGTTTGTTCTCAGAAATCTGATCCAGGGACAAATTAGGTCGCGCCACCTTCCAAAAAGAAAAGTTCAACTAGCTTTTGTTTTTCCGCTATCCATTTACTGTCACGGCTACTGTCTATGTTGTCGTTGTTGTCTCCACTAGTACTTGCGTTTCGCTTTTGGAAACTTAGACCAAAATCAAACAGGTATCCAGGTCAGGACCAAAATAACCGAGGTTGGCCTCGCAATGGTGTAGCAGATTTTCACAATGAAAACGTAGTCGTGATGCATTATTTGTCTTCAGCACATTATCGTCTGCAGATAACCATTACTGTTCGAGGCAGTGTGGTGAAAGTGAGGTCATAGCCAAAGTGACAGGAATGTTTCGACCTATGGGGTTCTGGATGAGGCATTGCTGGGACCGAGCTCTGAGTCTGCGGCTGAGAAAGGAGTACAGCTTAGGCAGCTTGACAATGGCGAATATGGCAAGTTATCTTCGACCATTATCACTACTATAGCTATGAAAATCGTAACAAAAGTATTAGGCTTTAAAACTGAAAAGATGCCACTAAAACTTACAGGTCAGAAATGGAGGACTAGTTTGCTTAAAATTTTAGGCCATAGCTGGCGAAATTTGTAAATAACGTGTCGAAAATCCATTGTCTGGTACTTAATTCAGTTTGACCGAAAAAGTGCGTTTTTTGGATCGCTCCAGCTCTGAAACAGTATACAAATAGAAAAAGTTTTAGGGTGAGTTGTTCAAAAACCGATGACGTAGAATTCTGCCTAGAGGGACCCGTTGGATGGCAAAAATGAAATCTTGCGGCGGTTGATCAGCCTCATTTTCTAATCCAGTGTTAAAAATGGCCTTGTTTGATTTCGTGGTGCGGAGTTTTATATCGAATTGCTGGTCGCAAAGGCAAACCCAATTCGAGCATATCCGGTACGTTAGCTCCAGTTCAATTGATCTTTTCACTTGCGAGAGCAAGTGTACTTCTAAACGGGATTTATAATTCCCCCCCCCCCCCCCTCTAAACAACTTTTCCTAAAGTGTTTGAGCCTGATCTTCAAGAATGACAAACGAAATTATTGCAGTTCAAAAGAAAAAAATCTGGAACAAGTTGTTCCAGACTATTTTTCTTTTGATCTTCAATAATTTCGTTTGGCATTCAACAAGCTTTTTTGTTTCTGGATTGGCTAATTCATGCCTGCGTGAATCCTGTCGAATGGAGTTCATGAACTATATGTTGATTTTTTCCATCTCTTTAACTTATAAGTTAACCGAAGAATAGCTTAAAAATAGCTTCTATGAATCCTGAACAGGAATTGTTGGAGTATTAAAATCAACTTCCACGCAAGCAATTGCTTATGCACTCGAATTTTATACCAAAAGAATACTTTTGCTCCAATGAATCGTTAAAAGGAAACGGCGAAGTATTAGGGAATCCTGACCGACTACTGCACTGGCAATTTGTGTTGCACTTAATTGTAGCTTAATTAACAGCGTTTCAAAATCGATCTGTATTCGGTGTATAGCACCTTGTTTTTTTTTCAGTATTGACTTCAGTCCTCTTAATTTATTTTTCTCGCTAAGATGGACTCTATCAGTTCGCAAATGCTTTTCGTTGCATATAGATTGCAAATGGTTCGGAAGGTCTAACCGTTTTCTTTCATTTCTAATGAATCTCCAATTGCTTTAAATCTGCCTGGTGTATTGCCTTGAAGGAGGCTCAAAACGTATAGTTTTTCGGCAAGGGTATTTAGCTCTAATTTTGAGGTCTCTTGAGATTTTGAGGGGGTTTTGAGGATGGGCTACTGTCAATGAAGAGTTCGTTTGCCCCAATAAGCAAGACGATATTTTCCTAAACTGATGTCACAAGAATGAATTGGATAACTTAATCTGAACTATATCAGAATGTGAATCTATCGGGGACCAGTTGACAACTGGGAACAAACAAGCTGTTTGATTTGTCCTGCTTCAACTATTTGGAAAAATGTCTGTACGCTGTAGAGGATACGTTGTGAGGAGTGAACGGTACGTTGCTGTGAACTGTCAGATCATTAAGTGTGTGTTTCGACTGGAATTTAGTATTAGCTCCGAGCGTTTTAGGGTTTTTTATGCGGCAGAATAATTTAAGAAATGTTTAAAATGATATTTTTTCGAAATGCTGTTGAACAAATTAATTTTTCTTTATAAATAAACTTTGTCATCAATGCAATTTTTGATCTATTCATCAGTCTTTTAATTCAAAATGAGTCGTGACGGAATATTTTGGGTAATTTAAGGTTTTTGCTTGATACAAGCAATCCCATTTTTTAATCGAGGCAATTGAATGAATTGAAGAAATGTCAAAAATTGCTATGGTCTTGCTTGAAAAGTCGTAAATGGTTGATTAGAAAAAGAAAAAAATTAAAATACCCTGCTGTGATGCATGCTTTGTCTCTTCAGATATTGCGATGGAGCAGTCTGAGAAGCCGCCCGCCCGTCACGAGGCAGGTCTGCTGAAACAGCTGAACAAACTGCACAAAACGGGCAGACACAGAAGCAAGAGATCCATCAGTAATGACTCCAGAGGCAAGACCATGTACAGTGTGAAGACCATAACTAAGCAGTCGCACAAACTGTTGGCTAAAGTGGAGAGGAGAAATCAAGCCAAAGAGAAGGTGTATCATTGTTACATTTTTTCTGATGTGGCTTACGCTGCATATTTTTGACGGGGGGGGGGGGGTAGTGTATTGTCAATTATTTTGTCGATTATTTAGGAAAAGTTTCGAGGTTTTCAAGCTCGGCCGAAACCTTGTGCTGTTGATTTTCTAAATCGAGCATTTTTATTATTTTTCAAATTAATCGCGCCTGAAAGTATCACAAATTATAAAAATTACCATAGCCTGACCTTTATCCCTGTCTGTTTCTCTTAGTTTTTGGCATAATAAACCTGTTTTAATTTTTTGGAGCCACTTTTTAACGTTATTTCAACTTTTCAATTCGAAAAAAGCTTGAACACCAGTTTTGTACAACATATTTATTTTTCAGAGGAAGCTTCAACGGGAGAAACATTTAGCAGAGAAGCGATCACGTGGTGGAACTGACGCTGCTCCTTTCACAGTGGCGATGGTAAGTCTGACCGAAGGAGTCGACCTGCACGGTTGTCTCGACTTGCTATTGACCGCCTACCCAAACTCACGAATGGTCAAGTCAGGCAGCCTCCAGTATCTTATTCTCGAAAATTTCCAGAAGAGAATATGCTTCAACCTCGTTCCAGATTGCGATCTGTTTGCATTGCTTGAAATCGCGAAAGTTGCCGACTTTTTACTACTCGTTGCGGATGTGAATGAAAAGTTTTCAAGGTTTGCAGAGCATGCATTTAGCTGTCTGTGCGCACAAGGATTGCCAAATGTACTGTACGCCTTAACAGGAACTGAAGATCTGACACTGAAAAAGAAGAACGAAGCGAAAGGTCAACTGATGAAAATTCTTTCTAGAAGATTTCCAAAGTTGGAGAAGGTGTACTCTTTCGACACAAATGCAGACGCGCAGTTGGTACTGAGAGATATTACTAACCAGAAGGTGAAAAGAATCAAATTTAGAGAGTGCAGGTCGAATATTGTAGTTGATAGCTTTACTCCGAGGCCGCCAGCGGAAGAAAAAGCACAGGCTCAAAATTTGGCACTTCGAGGTATTGTAAGTGGACGTCCTTTGTCGGCCAATTCGCTCATCTACTTGCCGAACTTAGGACCATATCAGATAAAGTATGTGAAGAAATTACCCGATCCGTACAGTGTGAAACCTTTCAAGGGTCAAATGGAAGACGAAATCGATTACCCAGATGAAAAACAGATGCAGTTGCAGTTTGAAGCCGAAGTTGACCCAATGGAAGGCGAACAAACGTGGCCGACAGAAGCGGAGTTGAAACATGCTGCCAAAAGGGCGCAAGATGGCGGCGATGATAATAACAGTGAAGATGATGATTTCGAAGATTGTGAGTCGGACGTCAATTCATTACTTGATCAGGGGGATTTGGTGCCTGAAGGAGCGGAAATCGAAAGTTCCGATGATGATAACGGTATGGAAGATGCGTTATCCGAGTTCGGAGGAACGTCAATTGCTGATGATTCTTTCTCGATCATTGATCAAGAGGCGAAGTTAGATGACATTGCCCGCGAAAAAGCAGCGAGAGACGATAAACATTTTCCCGATGAGGTTGATACTCCAATGAGTGTTATGGCAAAAGACCGCTTTCAGAAGTACCGAGGTCTTCAAAGTTTCAAACATACACCGTGGGATCCAAAAGAAAACTTACCAAGTGATTTTGCGAGGATATTTACGTTTGAGAATATCGATCGAGTAAAAAAAGCTTCCCTGCAAGTTGGCGCGGCTGTATGGGCTGTAGGCCAGCCAGGTACTTATGTTGAGATTGAGTTAGTTGACGTACCCGTTAGTTACTGCAATGACATAGATAAAGACAAACCATTGATTGTTTTTTCTCTGTTGGAGCACGAGCAGAAAATGTCAGTTTGTAACTTTTACTTGACCAGGCATCCGGCATCACAAAATGAAGTTAAATCGAAAGACAGTTTAATTTTTTGGACACCTTTGCGGACGTTTAGTGCACGGCCAATTTTCTCAGAACATACAGTTGGAAATAAACACAAGTTCGAAAGGTTCTTTCATCATGGTAGCCCAGTAGTTGCGAGTGTAATCTGTCCAATCACGTTCGGACCCTGTCCAGTTTTGGTGTTTCAGAATAATCCGGATTCAGAAGACGTTTCTACATTGGTTGCCACTGGAACTCTCAGCAGTATAAATCCATACAGAGTTGTGGTGAAACGGTCAGTGTTGAGTGGTTATCCGTGTAAAATCAACAAGCGATATGTGGTGGCCAGATACATGTTTCACAGTCGTGAAGATATTCTGTGGTTTAAACCGGTTCAATTGAGGACTAAATGGGGCCGAAAGGGACACATCATTGAGCCGCTAGGCACCCATGGCCACATGAAGTGCAAGTTTGACTCGCATCTCAAGTCTCAAGATACGATTATGATGAATCTGTACAAACGTGTCTTCCCAAAGTGCTCCTACAACCCGACAGTCGAGGAGTTTGGAATTGACATTCCAGATAGTTTGATTGCCGCATCTGTAAAATCATTTGATATCTGACCAGAATTCAAATTACTATGAAGTGTTTTTTCAAAGAACTTGCAAATTTTTAAGAGTTTTGGAATGTTCAAAAATTATTGCCCTTCTCCAAAGTTCATCGCTTTTTAAAATCAGTTTTGCCAACCAATTCTATATTTTACAGTTTTTACACGATTTTCGATTTAAATACAAGTCGGACTTCGCCATTTTTAAGCCTGTGGGCTAAATTTCCTGGATTTTTTTTTCATATGCTAATTAAGCTTTACCATAGTTGATACAGCGCTGATTTTAAAAACGATGCTGTATACTGGATCGGTCTGTTTTTGAGTGCAGCCAAAATACTTTTCCCCATCTAATTTTACCGCCAAGGCTACATGGAATTGCATCACTTCCAGTCTAATTTGGTTAATGTTCATTTTTCGGGCGATCGGAATGCCAACAGATGTAGCATGAAAGCTGAAGGCACTTTTGTCATTTTGTAGGGTTACACAAATAAGTCATAAATGATGAGGGAGGATGATAGTTGAGGTTGAGAAGATTCTACTATATGCCTTCCTTGGTAGGTATTTCCTGTCTAGAATGCCGTTTTCTTACACGGCGAAGTTTGAATTGCATATTTTTTGTCTCAATTTTTGATCGCAACTTTCCAGCCTTAGTGCTATTTGATTCGTCGCCTTCAGTTATCTTCGAACTGCGCAATTATTTTCTAACGCCTTACCAACGTACATACGATGGAACGGGGGTATTGCCCTTTTGAACAAATTGCTTTTCTTTTAACCGCTAACCATTCATTACAGCGCACCATCGTTGCGATTATAGGAAATCAGGCTAGGAGCAGCACCATTACTTAGTTATATAACATCACTGGATGCGCGGGAAAATCATGTGTTTTGCTTTAAAGTGTGACTTAATTTGATTTTGGTGGCTAAAGATTAAAATAGACAGCGGAAGTTCTGTTGTGTCCAGATTCAAATTAGCCACATTTTCGTCGTGAACTTCAGTAGTTATTGGTAGCGATAGGTTCAGCCCTTTGCATAGTTTAAACACATATTTTGGCTATGTTTGAGTTGGCCTCTTAAGTAACTCGATCGATTATTTACCCGATTACTAGCCTTCATGTTGCAAACTATTCAGTTCATCTATTTCGTTCAATAAAATTTGGATTGAGTTTGTAGTGTTATCCGATTGTGCAGTTTGACCGGTGACGAAATTATCACGGAATCGATATTTTGTTTTTACGATGATATTGGGGAGCACTAGCATTCTATACGGTAAATCAACTTAGTTTGTTTGTGCCGTGCTATACAACATGTATTTGCGACCTAATAAACATGCTCCCAAAGCGTTTTAGGGAGACAATGTTAACTTGATGCTAAATTGGATTTTTCAGCTAGCCATAACTTGTTACCCTTCCGATAAGCAAGGATATTGCAGCCGGGTACTAGACTTTTTTCCCGTAAATAAATTTGTTTATCGAAAAGTCCAATGGCAAATTTTATAACCGCTGAATTAATAGCCGGATTTGTAACTGCATTTGTACCTTGGGTGAACCTTGAGAGTTGCAAAATAAGTTTAATCTGTGCCGAAAGATTTTAATAAGTTTTCGGCAACGAGGTCGGTTGACTTTGTTTTTGTCGGCTTCTTTTCCTAATGTTTTTAAAAATTAATTTTATTAAATGAAAACGGTTGAACTCACACGAGACCTTTTGAAATATATAAATCACCCTCTTAAGGCCTCTTAAACCTGAAAATCTGTAAAAAAATTTTGAATTTTTTATATAGAAGAAAAATCTTGTTTTTTGGCTTTATAGTTTTTTTACACTTGCGCAAGCATTGTCTAGACTTGATCGGAAACTATACTTTTTTCCCGCAAACAACTTTTGTTTCACATCTTGCTTTATTACTGAATCCTAAACTTCTGAGATCCTTCGCAATTGGCCAAGAGGTTACGCCGCGGCCTCTACGCCCTTAGGTCCGGGTTTAGGATCCCGCCCGGTCCTTGTTTTTTCAGTAACTATGACTTTCGTTCATCTGCTTAAGTGTTATCGGCTTAGTTGGCATATCAAGGATGTTCTTGTAAAGTAAGCAAGTATCATGGTTGTTGTTAGTGTTTTTCATTGCATTAGTAGGGAACATTTAAGCTATTAAAAAATTTTTGAAGACCACCTACTCTCCTGTGCCACTGCTTACTCCACTATTCTCTTTCTCTTCTACCTGTTTGTCTACAGCCTTCGAAAAAGTATGTGGCCGAATATTTGACCCATTTTTTTAAAATTTTTTTTAAACTGTCCCGAATCTAAGATTCGGGTTTCAATAAGTCAAAAGGATTGGAACAGCTCCCCTGCATCAGCGGCCACGCCAATTTTTTTTAAATGTGGCTACGTCCAAAGTTATGGTCCTCGACAAAGTCAAAATTTTGTTATTTTACCCTTTTTTGAAATTTTTTGACCTTTCTCGAGAATTTCCGTGCGAGTTTTTTTCCGTTCAATCGAAAAAACAGGTTGCGCAATTCTGATCTGTTTAAGCGGATACGCCCAGCTTTTTTACACCACAAGATCTGATGAACTCAAAAGTCAAATTTATGATTTGATGACCGTTTTTTGGAACTTTTTTGTTTTGTCTCTATAATTATCCTGCCAATTCTGGTATCGAGGATTTAATTGAAATTTCACGTGGTTGAAAGCCTACCCACATAAGCGGTCACTCCCAATTTTGTTTGGAAAAAAGTTACGGTCTTCAAAAATGTCAAAGTTTTGTGACCGGTTTTTGGAAACTTTTTGACTTTTTTTCGAAAACTACACTGTAAATTCTCAGGTGAAGTGTTCAATCAAGAAACCAGGTTTGGGGGAGCTTCCGTACCTAAACGGTCATGAATGGACCCTGACTGGTGTCTACACCACTATAGAAACCTGCGACGATTCTGGCTAAACGCTAAACTGCTGCTTTTATAATTCACGTGAGGCTCTAAAAAATGATTCCAAATTGAATTGAGGCAGCTAATTGGTTTTTTTTTCATTCCATACAAGACTCAATTTTGAAAAAACTTGCTATTATCAGCCTAAATAGTTCTGCCAATAATTAAAGTTACCAAAAAATTTTCGAGACATTCAGGGCTTTGCTGGTGACTACAGGCTTTGCGGGTGAGCAGTCTTGTTAGTATGAATGCTCATAAACAAATTCTTTCTTGATTTCAGGTTTTAATTATAAAACATAAGCACTTTTGTTTCTGTGTTTTTCTGTAGTTATGGCTCCTCTATATAAGTTTCCTCTAACTGTTTTGATTGAATGTTCCAAATCTAGAAGAAATAGCAGGATTTTTAGCGAACTGTGGTTTTTCTCCCGCAAGTTTTTGCTCTCAAAATAGCAGTTATTGGCCGATTTTTCAAATAAATTACTATTGTAAAATTATTGTTGCTCCCAGTTCAAAATAAAATGTAAATTTTAAGGGCTCTTTTTTCGTGAAAAAAACTCTGGGGTTGCGAATTTGACCAATGTGGACAATTTGACGCGCGCGTTTTTCCAATTTTCTATTAAATGCCGTGCCATTTTCAATAGGGTCTAATTCGTAACGACGAATAAGTTAAAGCTGAAAATCATTGCGAATTGAATTGAGGAATGTTTTGATTCGTCCAAATAAGTCCTTATTTGGCGCGATTTTTATAACATTTCTTTCACTTTAAGTTTGGGATGACAGTATACGAACGTTTGGGATGATAGTATACGAAAAGTTAACTACCTTAACTACCATTATTAGAATCGTTCCAGACAGTCGAATGGCAGTCGAAACACGAAAGTAGATTTTTTTTTCAATTGTACGGCATTAGCTCCGCTATACTCGTAAGAACTCTCGACATGCTTATTCGAGTCCCAGTATGCTTGGATTGGGCGTTTTTCTTAATATATTTTTCTTCACTTATGTCGAAACGGTTGAATGAATTTTCGGTTACTCTGCATTCAAATAGATTTTAATTTGTTTTCCTCTTCTTCAAGTTTCCGTCTTTCGATTAAAAATTTATGGGAGTGAATGTTGCTGGATACGCTGCTGCACGGACATCAGAACGTTTCATTTTTGAATACTTTTCAATTTTAATTTTTCGTGCAATAATTCAATGTTGCTTTTTGCTGCTTGGCTATTAAACTTTGATGATGTTGCTTTTGGTATCTGTTGGTCACTCATCGCGAATATGCTCTTGCTGAGTTAAATGAAGTGTTCTACTTTTTCGTTTGACGTCTCTTTTGTCTGTTGATTTATGTGCAAAGAGAAAATCAGATTAACGTGTTCTTTATCAAACAACGACTGCCGTAAAAATTATTGTAACACAGTTTTGTCCTCAAGAAATGCAAACTTCCCAACGTAAAGGTAATATCAGTTCGTTTTGTTCCGACCGTTTTTGTTTTACACACAAAATCAGGTACCACAAATAATCATTGGAGTGGGCTGAGTGATATCTCATCTTAAAGACTTTTCAGTTGTGATTGAAACGACGTTAAAAATTTTTGAAAAAAAAAATTTTCAGTGACGAAAAAAAACTGGTTTGAAATTTTAGATTTTTGGTCTAATTTCGATTTAATAAAGTGGGCATGCTGACATGCAATAGTTTATTTAAACTTAAACTAAGCCGTGAAAACTTTTGTTATACTCGAGAAATTAACTCTTTTGCTTAAAAGACCTATTTAAAGACCTGTATACGTTTGACGGACCCATATATCATAGCTGTACCGGTTTTAGATCACCATTTCTTTGTTCATCTCCGGCTGAAATCTCGCAAATGCAAAAACTGTTTCTCTGGGATGGAGCTGCCATATTGACTTAGTTTTCGAGTTCTGTGATGCTTTTTTAAGGGGATGGTGTTCTTTTAAATTTTATTTCGCTACCTTCGGTTGCGAATGGTTTTTCATTGGTAGTTTTTCTTATTCGGATGTCCAGAACCTTGCTCATGATATACGAGATTTTTTGGTTTGAGTATTGAAGATCTGATTTAAATTATCTTTGCGATTTAATTGATTGCATTTAATAAGTTAAGTTAAATGCAACGATACTATTCTCATATTAAGCTTATCTTTTTTTCTTTCCACTAATTTTTAGTTTTCTAGCCGCTTCATGTTGGATATCTAATGATCAGTTAGCCCTCAATCAATTCTTTTAATGTTTCAGGGGACCCTAGGGGATAAAGCACACTTAGTAGAGGCAGTAACTCCCAAAATGAATAATCAGTCCGATAGGTCCCAAAAATAAAAAAGCAGTCGCATAAGTCCCAAATCTTTTCTATTGGTCAAAAGACTAAATTAGCCGAGTTTCGGCTTAAGGTCACCGGTGGGCGCGCGCGATAACCGGCTCTAAATTTCGTATAGAGTCCTACCCTTAGGTGGCAAGCTCGCAACAGGTTGGCGCGGCTGCGGCGGTCACTATTCTGCATCTTGATTCGGTTCAACTTTGCAGCTACTTAATTATTTAGGAAGTGTTGCAGCATGTTTGGTTCTTCGGACGTTGATTTAGATTTTATTTTATTTCTTCCTCCTTTTCTTTCAGATTCGGGCATGTATGGGTCTGTGGTGCAGCCCCTGCTTACTGACCTCTACCAAATCACCATGTGCTATGGCTACTGGAGGTCAAACAAGCACAACCAGAACTCAGTCTTTGAACTGTTCTTCCGCAAAAACCCATTCAAGGTACTACTATCCTTCATTCAAACAGGTCACGCTCACAAATCGAAAAATATACCCCCATTGAAAATTGTAAAACTTGCAACTAGTATTTTTTACCGTGGATATCCAGTGGACTGCCCAGCAAACTCCTCGTTCCTCCAGTTGGAAAAATACTTTTGTTTTTAGTTTGATTGAACTCTTGTTAAGATAAATGTGGTGGATCTTGTTATTTAAAAAAATGTGGTGGATCTTGTTAACAATCCCCGGACCAAGTTAACATCCTCCCCCCTAAACACATTTGGGAGGATGTTAACTTGGTTCCAAGTTGGGAATTTTCAGCCAATCAAAATCATGGCCAAGATCATTCATCAATTCTCGAAGGAATTCTAGCTATCAAAAAAAACTTGTCGAAGTTCATAAGATAAAATTGAATATAGTCTTCTGCAAAGATCGTGGATTCACGCAGGGTATACGGCTACTACTTTGCGAAATTTGATTTTTCCGTTTGAATTACTTTGCTTCGCGTTCAAGTCGAAAGTGGAGGGGATCGATTAGATATGTGATAATTATGTTTCCTCAAAGCCTTCGATTGTTCCGGTTTTTTCTCTTGTTTTTTTTTTGTTTTCAAATTGCTTATCAACCTATTTTTCTGCATGGGATGCAACTCGATACACAGATCAAAAAATCATGTTTTATACGAAAAAAGTATGTACAAAAAATATCATGTTTTATAAGAAAATTTTTTGTCCAGGGAGAGTTTACTATCTTCTGTGGCCTTCGCGACGTCATAGTGTTCCTGGAAAACTTTACTATCACAGACGAGGACGTGCAGTACTTGAAGAGTGTGATGCCAGACGCAGAGCCGGAGTTCTTCCACTACATGCAGAGTTTGGATCCAAAGCAGATGAAGATCCGGGCCCAGAAAGAGGGCTCGGTGTGTTTCCCAAGAGTGCCTCTCATTACTCTCGAGGGTCCATTGGCTCTATGTCAATTGGTGGAGACTACTTTGCTAACATTAGGTTGGTGCCTTAATTGGCGCCGTTTCATTTTAATTGTTTATCTTTTCAAATGTCAATGCAAAAAAAACTTACTAGAAGTGAAGTTCTAAATGGTAGCATTTTTGCAGATCAGTTGAGACTATCTGTCTACGAGCAGAAATATCAACGTAAAAAGGGATCAGAATTCTAATAAGAATCAGGGAGGGGAAAAAATAAATTTTTGGTCGTAAAAAGTACTTACTATTTTTTTTAGCGGCCAAAAAATTAAGAAAAAAATTAAGTACAAAAACTTAAATTTCGTCTTACAAACGTTTCCATCTCTATTTTCTGACAAACTTGCAGTTTTTGCTTTAAAATACTGAAAACTTTTTCGACTTACCAGGATTTTTTACGCGCGCATGAATGAATTTGGCAAAATTTTTCATCACAACCCGAAAAATTTGATGCTGTTTTATGAGCAAATTAACACGAATTTTTATGTTTTTGCTGGCTTTTTTCGTTCACTTAAGAAAGAGTGAATAAAAAATTAAATTAATTTTTTTGTCGGCTCCCTGCTGAGAACCGCTGTTCCGCCGTAGTTGAAAACTGGATGCAATTTTTTTCGGTTTGGTAGGCAAATTGTGAATGCGGAACTAAAATTCTTGCTCATTAGACATTCGGCAATTGTTGCGATATGGTATCAGAACAAGTTTATATAAACAAGTAACGATTGGTTTCGTCTTTCCAGTCAACTTTGCCAGTCTTGTGGCGACGAATGCAGTGAGATACAGACTGGCAGCTGGCGATGACAAAATTCTGCTAGAATTCGGTCTTCGAAGAGCCCAAGGTCCAGATGGAGGACTAACAGCAAGTAAATACTGCTATGTTGGTGGATTTAACGCAACAAGTAACGTTCTGGCGGGAAAGATGTACGGAATTCCTATCAAGGGAACCCAAGCTCATTCATTCGTCACGTCGTTCTCAAAAATCTCAGAGCTGAAAGAGCAAAAAACAACGCTCAAGTCCAAAAATGGCGCACAAGAATGCGATCTCGTTGACCTGACTATAAAATATCTAGAAGACGTGAAAAATGTTCTAGAGATCCCAGAAATACACGAAGGAGAGCTAGCTTCGTTTATAGCATATGCATGCGCCTTCCCGGAAAACTTTCTTGTGCTAATAGACACTTATGCGACGCTAGGATCCGGCATTGCTAGTTTTCTAGCAGTTGCGCTAGCCTTGGACCATATAGGGTATCGTGCCACGGGAGTCCGAATTGATTCTGGAGACTTAGCGTATCAGAGTCATGTGGTGCACGACAAAATGTGCCTGGTTGCCGATCGACTAGGTGTTGAGTGGTTCAAAACAGGATTAACAATCGTAGCCAGCAATGACCTTGACGAGGAGACGCTTTACTCATTTCGCAATCAAGACCACAAAATCAATGCATTTGGAATCGGAACCAACTTGGTAACATGTCTCAATCAACCTGCTCTCGGGTGTGTGTACAAAATAGTAGAAATCGAAGGTCGGCCCTGCATGAAATTAGCCCAAGAAGTTGGAAAAATGACTTTCCCTGGAAACAAAAAAGTTTACAGGCTTCAGGGATCCCAGGGAACCGCAATTTTGGATTTGATATCAACTGAGCATGAACCAAAGCCTGAAATAAATCAGCCCGTTTTGTGCCGAGATCCATTCACTGCTACTAAACGAGCATACTGCAAACCTTCGTCGATTCAAGAACTTCTGGTTCCAGTTTGGGATGAAAACGGTTGCGTAGAACCAGTACAGACGCTGCAAGAAGTAAGAGAGTTTGTTCTGGAATCACTGAAATCTCTTCGAGCAGACGTGAAAAGAAAACTAAATCCAACTCCTTACAAGGTTTCTCTGTCTAACAAATTATTCGATTTCATGCACGATCAGTGGTTGCAGAATGCTCCCATTGGGCAACTTGACTAGCCTGCTTCGTATGCCATGATTCAATTGTCTTGCTCGTCTATTTAAAATTGTACAGCTATTATGTAGAAAATGTATAACTTCTGTTTACTGTAAGTTTCATGTCAACTGAAACTCAACACTTGTTTCTGTAATTATCTTGCGCATTTCTTGCAAAAGGACTAGGACCCACAGCTATTATGTAGAAAATATAACTTCTGTTTACTGGTTATTTTATATCAACTGAAGCTCAACAATTGTTTCTGTAATTATCCTTGCTCATTTCTTTCTTAAGTACAGGACCCACAGCAGTTTCTAAGAATTATTTGGTTCCAAATTGCCACGAAAATGAGATAATTTATGCATTTTGTCAGGATAATTTAAATCGAGACTGTAGAGAAAAACATGGTAAATGCAGTTTTCTTCCACAGAGCTTATTACACAAGCATAGCTTGTGTTGTAGTATGAACATCCTTTTTTTCCAACCTAAGTCGCAAATATTGTTGCGATGCAATGGTTGCGACAAAATGTGTTAATTTTGAAAGTGTTCCATTTTGATCCAGCTCTTAAGTACAGCCAATGCTGAGGATATTAACACAGACTATTATATTACAAATAGCCATTTAGCTGCAAGGTATCATGGATCTGTAGTTTAGAGAAAGGAAAGGAGACCCGCATGAAAATAAGAGGGTTCGATTCTGGGTAGGGTCGGATGTTTTTTTAATGAAATTTTTCGTATACTAGTTAAAATGCGTCCGCTCTATAAATTGAGGCATGTTAGTTGGTAAAGTAGTACTTTTTTCAAATTGACTGGTATTGCTAATGCGTCATAATTGGCTTGCGTCACTTAGCAATTAGATGGCGCGTGTCACTTATGAACTTTTAAAGACTCAAACTTTTACTCATTCAGTTTTTCCCAGTAGCGTTATCGGTCATATTTTTGCGTTTGTATGCAACATGCAACTTCGCCTCTGTGTTTAAACTATCCGGTCAAAAGACGCAAATTTTGAAACTGCACGCGTTTTCCTAATTTTGACATTCGATAAAAAGGTATGAGCGCAGAAATAGGTTCTCAAGCCCAACAATTTTTGCGATCTTTGTCTAATCGCGAATAAAAATCTGTGAAAACTTGTCAAGATTGTGTCAAGATCTTTCAGAAAAGTCCAAGAATCTTGAAGACAAAAAAACAGAGATTGCAAAGGATCTTGAAGTTATTACAAAGATTTTTTAAAAAAAATTTGGCGCTGCGAGCGCTTATAAAACAAGACCTAAATTTTTTGAATCGATAATTAAGAGCTATAAAATGAAGCATTGCGACCATGAACTAACTAACAATCATCAATACAAAACTGAATTTTTGATTGAAAGTTTTCTGAAAACTTGCTGATGATTGTTAGTTTCAAAACAAAATGCGGCAGTAGCAAATCAATTGATTATCAAGACATGAGCATTGTGACCATGAATTAAGTCAAAACTATCAGTACAAAAATAATTTAGTTTTTAGTTCCAAAGCAAATTCAGGCAAAAAATTGAAGCATTAGCGAAGCAATTGAATCTAATGGCAGATGCACTAAAGTACAGCATTGCGACAATGATTTAACAAAAAAAGTACAAGATTTGCTGTTTGCTAAAAACTTTCGAAGTTTTCTGATAATTTGTCTCAACATAATTCAAGGTGGTTAATTCAAGCGTTAAAACGTCAGATAAAAAAAATAGAAGATCGATGATTAAAAGAAAAATTGCGGTTCATTTTTATAATATCGAATACTCTAAATATCGAAGAACACCTAACATATTTTAAAAAATTCTGGATGAATATCGGTTTCAAAGCAATTTTAGCCAATTGTAACATATTGCTAATCTTTTGATGATATATCCGTCAAAATGCTTGATTATATCGACCAACAGCGTTTTTTGATTAATTGCCCCTCTTTGCTTTTAAAAATTCTGATTTTGAAGTTTTCAAAAGTTTTTTTTTCGGAGAATATTTTCTGTCTTTGTGTTCTGATTTTGAAGTTTTCAAAAGTTTTTTTTTCGAAGAATATTTCCTGTCTTTGTGTTCTGCTTCATTCTGTTTTTGTCATGACAACGTAGAACAAATTCAATTCTAAAAACAGCTTTTAATTCTAACAATTTTAAACAACTTTCCATTTTTAAACAACTTTTTCCAACTTCACCAGTGCTGTAGTAAGTGACTAAGAGACGTATTTCCTAAACAATTGACTCTCCGTTGACCGAACAGCGGTTCCGCCGCCTTTCTTTCCTTGCACGCTGTCGCGACTTGCCTGAGATCCGTTCTGTGGCGTTGTTCCCACGAAAAGTCGTCGGATCGATTGAATTTTTTGGACCCACCACCCTAGTTTCTTCTTTTCTGCAGTAAGCTCCTGCTCGATTTGGGTTTTTGGCAAATTTGATATGTGGTTATTCAGGCTTGAATAATTCTTTCGCTCCCAAGACGGCTACGGTGAATGGAAAGAACGCTTGGAAGTGATTTGCGTCGGACTCGGTTTTCTCAGATCAGCGAGGTGTAGCCATCAGTGGTTTTCGATAGTAAGTCAGCGTAGTAGGATGAGTCACTTGTAGGGTTTTTGAGCGTCATGATCCAGTTTCGGGCTCTACATCTCTTTCGGTTTGATCTGGTAGATATTTGATCTTGTTCATACAATAACTATAACATATCTGGACAATAAGAAACACGAACTCTTATACCGAACAGCGGTTGCACCTTAGACCGAACGGCCATGCCTCCAGTGGATTCGGTCAAGAGTTCTACGGTATAGCTCTACAATCAGATGAGGATTTAACCGACCTATACCAGATGAGACTAACAGCTTACGTGCGATTCAAATCTACAATTAACGCCGCCGTCAACGATACAATTAACCGTCCCAACTATGCTAAGTACGAAAGCAGCCCCAAAAGCTGAAGAAAATACTCGCAATTACACGAGGATAGAGCGAGACGCAGCGTCTATGATATATTAACTAAATATACTGATAAAGGCTAATGTAATTATATTTTGATTAATTTACTCGTTTATCAAGTCAGCATAGATAATCGAGTGTTTTTAAGCAAACAAGATTTTTTATTTTCCACTTTTGCTAATTTCATTTTTTTCCACTGTTTTCATATCGTAAACACTAAATAATAAATCGTACCACATAGGGAGTGAAAATTACCATAAATGGAGTTTGGCCGAATATAGATTAATGTCACCATAACCTTAAAATCATTCGAGGAGCAGTTTTTCTCGACGCGGTGCGAGGTTTTTGAATTTTTGTAGGAATTGGAGTTGCGACTGAAAAATTTTAATAAGCTAGAGAACTTGGTTCTGTTGTGTCTTTTTACCCTTGCGATATGAAAGTGTTGCAACCGGCTACTACACTTTTTGCCCGTAAAGATTTTTTTTTCACTGAAAGAATCAAATGGGAATCAGTATATTTCATTACCTGTGAATCACAAGCATGGTTAGTGTATTACCTGCATATATGCCATGGGTGCATGTTACATAGGGTTACAATGTAACTGTGATCTGTGCGAAAATTTTCGGAGCTGAGTTCGGTCGCCTTGAATTGTGTCGGCTTATTTTCCTAATATCTTCATTCTTTTATATGAGACCGGTTGAGCTCTAACGAGATTTTTTTTTGAAAAGTTTTAATCAACTTATTGAGCCCTCCGGAATATTTTGGGGAAAATAAGCATAAAAAGTTGTCAATATTCTTGGAAAACAGTTTTTTAATGTATTTTTGGCAATTTAGGTCAATTAACGACTTTGGTAGAAATTTTTGTAGTTTTTAGTTGCGCAATCTGCTATTTTTTTGCAGTTTGTTTTTGCTTTTAAAGTTTTTTAAAGCACCGATTTGGCCTGTTTAGTTTGAAGGTTACGTTCATGCTTGAGACCACAAAATTTGTGGGTTGCGTACGGGCCAGCAGTTGATTTTCTTTTAAAATGTTTTTTTTTTCTGGGAGAATTTTATTATCGGACTTGTTTGTCTGCTTTTTCGTCAGCTTTTCTTCCGAAACTTATAATTTTTTTCCGGCTGGAGCAAGTTTTGCCAGAATTGGAAGACTTTTGATTCATTCCTGTAATTTGTAAGTTTGACATTTCTGATTTTCTATACGTGTCTTTTTTATTGTTGCTTATTCACGTCTTTTTTGCTTAAAAGGTTATTCAGCTAAATTGGTGTGGGCGAAGGTGATATCGACACAGTCACCATATATTGCATCGTTTCAGGGGCAAATGGTTTTTTTTGTTAATTTCCGGAGGGTGGTAAATCTGGACTTGCTGAACTTCATAGGTCAAAATTTTTTGCTTGATTCATCTTACTCTATTTTCTCTTATTTCTACTTCGGGCTTTATTTCTGTGGAAGAGAGTGATTTGTTGCCATTTTGTCCTAGCCGGTCCCACCTTGAGGAGGCGGATTAAACTTCGACTCCTCCAACCGTGACCGAAGTCTGATGCGAACCAGCAACCTTCGTGTTAAAGGCCGTGCGTCATACTCACTCGGCCACGGCTGCTTGAGTTCAACGATAGTCTACCCACGTTTTGTCGTCATAAGTGACGTTTGATAATTTTCTCTGTATGGTAATTTAATGCTGTCCACTGTGTTTCTCGGAATGTGTTGCTAAAATTGAACATCACATCATCTAAGACAAACGTGAGAAGTTTTTATGGACATTGCTTTTGGCTTTTGGTCAGGCAGGTTTTTTCCGACATACTGGCCTCACCCTTCTGTGTCAAATTGTCAAATTGGAGTGGGAAGCACCCAACCTAAGATATAATTACTTTCAATTTTTTGAGTAAGTTCAGAACAATAATTTGAGAGCAGCCGTGACCGAGTGGTTAAGATGGGCGGCTTTTAACACAAACGTCGTAGGTTTGAATCAGGCTTCGATCATGGTTGGAGGGGTCCCAGTGTCATCCGCCTCCTCAAGGTGGTACGGGCTGCGGAAAATGGATGACTTCCCTCGCTCTGACTGAATAAAAGGTCCAAGGTTGAAAGGTTGGAGCTGGGCAGGGGCTTAATAGAAAACAATATCGACTATTATGCAAATGCAGTATATGTGTTCAACAGAACAGAGTTTACTCATACAAGAATACGTTACCTTCATGTTTCTGTTTTTTTTTTGTGCATAGGTGAAAACTTTCATGAATAAATATATTTTTTGAATTGAATAAATACATGTCATCTATAATAAATCATTTGAGGGGAAATCGAATCGTGTTCACATTGAGTTTGATTCGAAAAACTGCAGCCGTTGACCTTTTTATCTCAATTAGTGGTTGCAGCATTTAGTTCCAATTTCACATTGATGCCATTATGTTGGGTGTCTACGTGTCGTTTCAAATCCACCTTCCGCTGGAATGCACGCTGACATAACGAACATTGGAACGGTTTGTAGCCAGTGTGTTTGCGAGCATGTGTGATCAAATTGCTGGACTGACTGAATGCTTTCCCACACACACTGCATTTATGAGGCTTCTCGCCTGAATAAAAAATATCATTATTTTGATGATTTTGTAGCAGAGACTTGCGTTGAGATTCAGTTGATTTAGGGCCGGAGTTATAAAAAAATTCGTCTCTTTGGTCGGCTAAATTGATTTTCCTAGCTCACCCAAAACACTGAAAAGACCCTATTTAGACCCTATAAATGTGTGTGATTATTTGTTGTTCCAGCAATTCTTTTGTTTGTATTGTAGCTGTTTTCTTGATTAATTTGAACCACACTTATTTGTGCAGATTGTTCCTTCTTTACCTATTAATAGATGAATATTATAACCCAATGAAATAAGAAAGCTACTAATTTTTCTATAATTAAATATTTTCCATTTGTTTTGCTGCTTTGTTTATTTTATAACTTCAGTTCACTTTTTAGTCACAACGAGAATAAACATTTAGAAAAAATTAACATTTAGAAAAAATTAACATTTAGAAAAATTTGTTTTGCACTTGTTCTGAAAAACAGCAAATGGGTTGATGTATTTGACTGATGTTGAAAATATTTGAAGCTAAGATTGAAAGATCAACTTTTCAGTAAGCCATCCTCCCTTCCTTGGTTACATTGCATCTTTGGTTTAGTTAATACATGTATATAGGGATGAAGGAAAACAATGATGGAATCAATTTTTTTAAATTATTTGTGCAATTTGTTTTGCACGCATGAGCCTTTCAACATCTAAATTGTGGAGCATTGTTATTTTTTATGTTACCTGTGTGCGTGTATGTGTGTTTCTTCATGTCTGACTTCTGGTGGAATCTTTTCCCACAGTATGGACACGGGTATGGCCTAGTGTTGGAGTGGATCATCATATGAGTGGACAAGGTCGAGGACCTCCGAAAACACTTGCCGCACTCTTTGCAGTCATAGCCCCCGCTTCCACCTCCTGCTCCTCCCCCTCCGATCACGAGGTTCAGCGCACCCCCTACCTCTCCCACCACGGATCCCCCGGACTTTGAGGAAGTCTCACTGCCTGATGGACTGATTTCATTGTGGGAAGCAGATGTCATTGATGATGCAGCACCAATCAGGTCGTCAAAACTCCGTTTCCGACTGTTTTGTTCCAACTGTTGCAATGAATCTGATCTATTGTTGGCGCTTAAGTTCTGAAGCATCAGAAATGATGCGATTTCAGGATGCAAAAACTGGCTGCCTAGTACTGGCTGCCTTGTCTGCATCTTCGAACGATCTAGAACTGATTTGTTTAATGCGTATAATTGTCTCTGAACTTCGGCATTTACGAACTGGTTTCTCTGAATTTGAGCCAGAATGTTCTGATTATTCATCTGCTGCGAATTGAGGTTTGCTATCTCGGTTAGTGTCAATTGGTTTTGAATATGATTCGAGGGTTTGATGGCATTGGATGAAAGAAGTTGTTGCCATTGGTGCAAGTGGTTGAAAGATTTGATTTGGGGGAAACTCAGAGGTGCTTGAGGAATGCTCGTTAGCTGGTTGTTGCTTATACTGGAGTTGAGTTTAAACAGTTCAGCGGTTAAACGAAGTTGACTACTGTTTTCTGCTGTTGACTGTCGGCTTCTGTGGTTATGCGTAATGCTTGATGGATGATTATTCATTTGCATGTCTGCACACTTAGTTTTCAAAGACTGTTGGGATGCTGATTGAGCTAGGGATGGTTTGTTGAAACCACCGAGGGTTCCCAGGGCGTTATTTGCTGAAAAACAATCAAAAAGCTGAAGTTTTTTTTGGTGAAAAAAAAGTTATTTACAATCTAAGTTCTGCGACTTGATGTCAAAAATTGGCCTTAATTATCGGATTTGTGGCAAAATAAGAATAATGAGAATGACAAGAAATTGAAAATGTTATAAACCTTTTAGAAGCTGCTGAATCATTTGTTCTTGTCTGATGTGTGGCGAAAATAGTTGGGGACAATTATTGAAGCTGCTTTTGCATTGATTTGCCCCCGTCAGATTACTTCTCATTGCATCTGTTATTGATCCTCTTTCCAACTGTGAATTAACTTTCCTCGCCGAGTCATCTGAGTTCTTATTCGGAATCAATGTGGAATCATCTGTGGATTTGAGTAGCGTGCCAGTGCCGAGTTTGGATATCAATCGAAGCGTGTCCATTTTCGCCGAAACTTCCAAGCTGTGTGCTTTATCTTGCGCTGCTGGATCCGATTTAGTTTGCACGCCTTCAGATTCATCGATATGAGGCTGCCAAATTCCACTTCCTAAACAAAATTGGATGTTGAATTAAAATGATTTGATAATGATGGTTGATAGTGGAAAAATGCGTGATTATTTGACTAAAAATACCCTCCTTTTTCCTTCTGATTCGGTGATCATCATAATAATAGGAGGATGGGGGAGGTAAGTAGTTGTATTAATTGTGAATGGAAATGCAGCGAATGTATTATGATTGCAGACTCCCAGAAGACAGCAGTCTCTCTCTTGTATTTCTTAGAATGAGCTAACTTTGTTTTTAAGAAAGAATGTGAGAGATGCTAGACCGTATGATACGAGAGTATCTAGCTGCTGGTTTTCGCCTCCATAAACTTGCACAAAATTCGGCAAGGAGATGCTCTAAATGGCCGACTATTTTCAAGATTTTATACCGACGCTCGACTTTAGCCTGGAGCCACTTTCGAAGAATTCCCATTTCAAAGTTTCTACCTCCGAAAAGACAGTTGATCGCCCTAACTGCAACAACTCCTTTCTTGCCAACTGGTTTTGTGCACGCCGAAGAACTTGCAGAAAGTGACCTTGAAACGTTGAAAATGAGATTGGCAGATGAGTTGCTGTCGGTTGAAGAAATGAAAGCGTGTGTGAATACTTTTCAAGAAGTGAAGGATACGATGAGAAAAAAGGGGGGAGAGGAGAATGATGCGGATTCTGGAAAAGCAGTCAAAGAGAAAAAAGGAAAAGACGACGACTGGGACTTGATAATGGACAAAGAAGATATGAAAATTTGGAGAAAACAAGTGCCTGATTCTTCATTGATCTACTACAGGTTAGAAATTGATCTAGGATGTCAAAAGAGCGTTTCGAAGAAAAAATGTGCTCGATTTCAATACTTACAAACAGTCTTGCTGTATAAAAATCTTACGCAGCTATTCTGACGTTATGATGGCATGTCAGTCAATAAAGTTTCTACCACTTTTGGGTGTGTTTAGTATTTTTATGTCTTTGTTTCCCACGCAAAATCAGGTTCCCCAAATAACTATCACAATAAGTTGAGTGATATGTCATAATAAATCCCTCTCTGTCGTGATTCGAGCGACATAAAAATTTTTTCTAAAAGTTTTCCCAGTGTCGAGAAAAACTGATAAGAAAATAGAAATTTAATGGGAAAACGAGCTTCTATTATTTCTCATGTATATCTTATTATTTCTCATTAAATTTTTCGTGTAGATATTCCTTGGTTTTCAATAAACAAAAAAAAATCAAAGAAATATTGTAAAAAATGAAACAATTCAACATTGCGTTTGACATTTTTGTATTTTTTGTTTTGTGATTCAAAGACAAATGTCAATGAAGAACAGATACTAATGCTCTGAGCGTTTTTAGGTCCTACATCCTCAGTGATAATGAAATGAAAACGGCCTAAATTTGAAAAATATTTGACTCTTGAATTATATATATTTTTGTTAAATATGGTTGGAACATTTTGCGCTAAATGCTACACAGCTACCGGCTACTCCTGTATTGATTAGTTATGTTTGTGTGTTTTTTCAAGATTGTGAGCTTTGTTTTAAAAATTGTTTAATGTATGTTATGCTGTATCTAGATGCTACGGGAGGATAGAAAACATCGCCTCATCTGCCTTCTTCAAAGTGCAGTTCGAGGACGAAATGAGGAAACAGTCGGACAAATACGTCAAAGTTCTCACTTCGAACCCAGTCTGTCTAAACCACTCATTCCCGAACTCCTCTCCAAAACCACCACTCAGGGTAGAGAACAACGAGGAGGCTTCTTGTGAAGAAGTGGAAGTGGACGTGGAAACGGAGACCAATTGCATTAAGGGGTTCGACGATGTGTTGTGGGTCCATTCATTCCCTTTTCCTCTCAAGTGCAGGCTCTACAGGTTGGTTAAACTCAGGAAACAAATAAAGAACTCAGGGCTGCGAACGAGATTCCAGCAAATGGCTCGAATGTGCTATAATATAATATTACCGACCTTTCAGTCGTGATTCGGTTTCTATAAGTATATAATCAAAACAGTTGTCTCAGTTTCGAGAATAACTAGTGAGAAATTTTTTCTATTTAAGACTAAATTAGACGAAATTTGAAGAGAGGCTAACATCCTAAAGTTCTACTACATTTTTAATGCTATTCAAGCTACAGTTACCGCTGCTTCTTGAGTTTATTATCTTAATCAGTTGCCTTTTCGAGATAAATAAATAACCGGAAATGTAGACAAATTTGCTTAAAAAATACTTTTCGCTTTAAATTTTTTTTTTCGAATTTTTGAATTTCTTTTAAATCAGTTTGGTCGGTCGGAACATACTGTGCCAACCGGTTATCCTTGTTGAAATATTGTATCTCAATATTTTTGAAGGAGCCCCGAACTAGTGCCGAAGCAACCGCTTCTCAAAAACGAAATGATTAGCTTAATCATACTGCTGGATCCCAAAAATTTGACTTCCCAATCTTTGACTTTAAATTGAGTTGAGATTTTGAGCTATGACGATTTATCGAAGAGGGAAAGGAATTGCGTACGAGCTGCTCAGCGCTTCTTGGAGAACTACTGTTGGTCTCCTGCTTAAGAATTGCGTGCGATTTTTTGGGGAAACTCTTTAGGGGGGGGGGGGGGAATATCGTATAATTATTTTCCACGAGGTTGTCTTTGTCGGTGTGGGCAGATTGGAAGGTTGTTCTACTTTTAAACTGGGTCAGATGTCTAGTAGTGATAAAATTTGAATTTCAAACTACACAGAAATAGTGTTAATTGCTCTGATTGAAAAACAGGGTCAATTATGCAGGTTTTGTCGGCCGAAATCTTTGAATCATTACAACTAGGGCTATCTTTCGAAATTACATGTAGATTGTGAGATTACATGAGAGAAGCATATTATTATGACGTAATCTGCTACATTTGAATCAATCCAGTTCTAAATCAGTAATGGACTTAAATCTCAAACGAGCAAGATCCATAGCGTTGAAAAAAGGTTTCAACAAATGCATTTTGAATACAACAATTGCGAATGAATTTGAGATTAAGCAGAAATGTTTGAAAGAGAAGACCCTGATAATTTCTAAAAGTTAATCATATCTGAATTGTTTTTAGGTACTTCCGAAGAGGAGCCTATATACCAGAAGACGAAGTCTTTGTCATCATCAGCAAAAACAACAACAATCACCATCAGCAACACCACTCAGACCCCAAATCACTAGAAGCGAGTTGTCCCAAAGACGCAGTCCATGTGAAGACATACTACTCCTCATTTGTCATCAGCCCAATTGATGGAGCAAAATCGACTTCTGATTTGGGGTTCGAGTATGTGTTGTGCTATGTGGACGATCCTCAAATAGTGCTGCCGAATAAAATTGTTACCATGGCCACTTCAGACGGGATTCCGCGTCTCATGAACCAGTTAGGAACGGCTGCCAAAGTTGTTTTTGCCTCAGACAAACAGTCCTGCATTGAGGCGTACGAAGAGTATTCGATTGACCCACAAGTTCGCAGAAATTTCCGAAAAAGGAAAGATGAAAGTAAATCAAAACCACGCGGAGGAAATGATTTCAGGAGTAAAATGTTCATCACGGAAGCGACCGACCACTCGTCTGTTCAAAGTGCTAACAAATCGGATGATTTTTCCGACCAAGTGCCTTCAAAAATTGACGAAATAATTGCCAAATCGACAGAATTAGTTGCGGAAAAACTTGAAGGTGTTCCAAAGAGCATAAAACATGAATTAAAACCGATGTACAAAAAACTAAATAGTTTTGTATGGAAAAACAAATTCATTTTTGAAAGAATATCAGATAAAGATAATTTTATGGACTAATAGGTTTTATTTTTGTCTACGTACAATTGTATATCAGAGGAAAAATAACAAAATATGTTTTGTTCAATAGGGCTCGAGGATCGTTTTGTTGATAAGGATCCTCAATAAGGATCGAGGAATTTTTGAGTGTTTTTCTCAAGCTTGTTTGCTTTCATCAGGTTATTGGCGGGTTTGAGAGGCGTTGCTTAGCCCCCCTCACTCCCCCCCCCCCCCCTCCCCCCCAGGGATTCGACCCCGCTCCCCTTTTTGGTTCTATGTTACAACATCAGTTTTTGACTGAATGACCTTAAAAAGTTTCCAAATGCGCCTTCAGGGACAATATAAACTAACTGTGAACGAACAGGATCTGTGCGCAAAAAAGTCAATAGCGCGGAAAATCAATGTAATTGGCCGACGAAAAAAAAAACTTTTCTTATTTGAGGGTGAATCATTCTATTAGTTGAACATTAACAACAAAAACTTGTACTTACTTTTAGAAGTCAGGTCCATGGTGTAAAAATTTCCGCGTTTTCTGCCGATTTTCAAATTGTTCAATCTTATTAGTTTTTGATTGTTTTGAAAAGCTTTAAAAACAAAATAATTTAATTATTTTATTTACTAGAGGTGCGAGCTCTCTTTTGAAGTTTGCAATAAAATTTTTAAGTCCCGATTGCCCGGTATTTGTAGTTAATAGATTTATGACTTTTGCTCGATTGCTAACAGCTAATGGCCAATAAAATTGATCTTGCGAATGAAGTGAACTGGGAAAAAGTTTTTCTTCCTCAAGATTTGATCCCGTTGAAAAGGTGGAGGGTCGCTTTGAAGACTGCGATTAGCCAATCAGAGTAGCGGAGAATATTAGAGGAGGAAACAAGCTGTAGTCAAGTGGCAGATCTGTAGAGATGCAACGAATGGGAATAACATATGTAAGAAAGGAAATCAAAGTCAATAGAACATCCGGGTCAACTAGTGTTGCAATTAATTGCATCTTTTTATTTGCAATTTATTTATATGTTATAAAAATTTTAGTAAGTTTTGATTTTTTTTTTTCAAAAATGAATTCAAGTTTTGAAGCCAAATTTATCCCAAAGATAATTGAGTTGTTGATGCTAGAATTAAATTTTTGTTTCATTTTTTGGGGATTTAAAATAAGTCTTTTGGGCGACTAAATTAGCTGGGTAATCAACTGCTGTTCAAATTAATCTGCCCTCTTTTTAGTCTTTGAACAGAGTATTGTTTTTGGAATTGTTTTCATTTTCCTCGACTCGACTGGGCTAAGATTGCATACGAGTGTTTTGTTGTGATGTGTTGTGGGGGGTTGAATTAGAAAATTAATATGGACAGTAAATGAAAATCAATTGAGAGGAGCTGAGTTTTTTTTGATAATAAAGAGAATAGCTTCTTTTCATTCATTACTCCTCCAGCTTTTAAAACCATTGAAGTCCATATGTTAAATTTGCAATTTTAATTTACTTTTCTGCTTTTCCAATTTCATCGATCATCGCCTGGGAAAAGTTGCTTTGGTTTCAAAAGCAACAAGTATACGTTATTTAATTAGATTCCCCCTGCTTGAAATTGTTTTTCTCAGCTTTAAAATTGCTTCTCAATTTGCAAACATGTGTCGATTCATAATTTGAGTGATTGTCGAAGATTTGAGTGCTGAAAAAACTCTTTGTTGTTTTTTTTTTAAATAAGATACCCGAATTAATTCTGTACATTGATTCATAGTTTAAAATGACTGGGTTACTTCGAAAATATCCTCTAAAAGACTTCTGGTTGACTGACCCAATTTAAAGCGTTTGGTTGGCCCCGAAATCAAATGTAACCCTTTTTTATCAAGAGCGAATATAGGATTTCCAGTTGGGAGAGAGCAGTTTTTCGAAAAAATACAACAGGTCGGGTCGACAAAGATATTTTTTGAGCTCTCGTGAAACGCTAGATAATCCACGCCGCCTTCTTCATAAGTCAAATATTTTTGGGTCTCCATGTTTTTGCGAAGTTTATTGCTGATTTATGAACAGGTTTCGGTTGATATGGAGATTTCTGCTTAAAACTTATAGTAGCCCTATAGTCTTTTATTCTTTGAAAATTTTTGGCAGGTTACCAGAAATTTTAAGTTGCTGGTTTTTTAGAAGTTTGAAAGTTTTGAGTTCAGAAATTAAGACAGCTAATTTATTGATGAAAAAAATCTCTTCAACTTTTCACGGTCAAGATAAGAAATTGTGACAGCTTATTTAATGATTTTAAAAATCTTTTCAATTTTTCATTTGTTTGGGGTCATCTGATGCGCTAGTAGGTTTCAAAATTGTATTTAATGGCGTTTTGGGCTATTTTGGAAGAGTTGTAAAGCAGATATTGCAGATGCTACGAAACAGTAGCGGGTTAAAAGGGTTCCTAAAGGCTGAATTTTCTGTCAGTGCTTTACACATGTCGTTGTTTGCGCAATATTGAATTGCCCTAGATCTGTGGTCCGTAGCAGCCCCTATTCAGTTTTTTTTCTGGGAAAATTAGCTACCCAGATACACGTCGTATGCCTTCAAGTGATGCATCATGTTCATTTGATGTAGATAATTTTGTTCACAAGATTTCGCACGTCAAATTGTTTCAACTTACTGCATAATAAGACACTTGCTTGAATAGACGTCAGAGGCTTGTGGTTCGAATCCGGCCGGGACCTGTTTTTGCAAACAAGAAAATTTCAGTTTTTTTGGACCTTCTTCGGTCTGTTTCTTTTTGTCGGCTTAGTTCTCGAAGCACGGACTCTTTTCTATGGTTGAAAATTCTAAATACCTGTTCTAACGCCCCGTTGGTAGGTGTCTTTGAGTTATTAGATTTTAAAGCGGATTTTTTTTTTAATTTAAAATTTTTTGCTCCATCAAATCTGCACTTTCGTAATTCAACAGACATAGCTTGAGCATGTTTGCATTTTAAATACCCGTTCTTTTCAATGTTTTTCATTCCGACCTTTGAAATGGAGAAGAACTTTGTATTCATGTGTTTTAGTTTTTTCTTTTATTGTTTTCCTCGTAAAATCAGCTACTACAAATAATCATCGGAATGGATTGAGTGATTTTCCATATTATAGCCATTTCAGTCTTGATTCGAACGACCTAAAAATTTTATTAGCCTGCTATCGAGAAAAACTTAATTTTTTTTTGGTTTTTGGTTTAAATTCGAGCGAATAAAACGAGCTTGTTAATAAAATAGCTAATTTATGTTTGTTTGAAGGCGTGAAAACTTAGTTTTACTCGTGTAAAATTAGTGTTTGGAATTTTTAGCGCCATTTTGGGAGTTAAATTTTCAAAAAACTTCTGCAAAAAAAAGTTTTTTTTTTAATTTAAATTTTTTTAATGAGTTTTTTGCTTTTCCTGTCAAGTTCTACAAAACTTTTTGTCTAATTTGCCTGTTTTACTATGACAATCGAATATGCCTAAGTTCTACTTTTTCGTTTAGATACTTTTATCACACCACACAGAAAAAATGACACTAATTTTTAAAATATTTTTAAGACTAGTTGGAACATTCTGTTTTTTTTTTCGCACAGTAGAAGACTATCCTTTGTTTGTTTCGGCGTTAATTTATCAACTTCGGTTCTGTATAATTTCTGTTTTCGTTTTTCTTGTTTTTGTTTGCTTCCTAAGCTATGTTTTGATATATATACTTCTATATATATGCTATATATATTTCAATTGTCTTTTTTGGCATGCTTTTGAAAAATAAATTTTATTCAAGACAAGACAAAGTGAGACAAAGATATGGAACTTTCGGTACATATAATTTTTCTCGACTTTTTCAAAAAAAATACTGCTTTGCTGCTTTAGTCTCTATTTCTGTCTGCTATCTGTTCATGCTGAGATAGCTTTGCTGAATCGCAAGTGGTGCGAAGATTTGCTTCGCTTCTGTGTGAAAAGTCAGTTATAGAAGATCTTTGAAATGAAAAGTGATTGAACATGATTTTTTTTTGATGAAATCTATATATTTTCTGGTTTTCTTGTTCATCGTTATGTTACCAGCTGTTTTTTTTTGATTTTGTTCAATTCTTATCAGTTTTTGGGTTTTAATAGGTCACATGGATGGTCATTTCTCTGTAAAAATATCGTGAGTGTGTGTTTACGGCGTTTTTCTTTGCTTATAATTTTTAAAGTTTTGCTTTGCTTACCTTTCTTTTTTTGTTACCAGTTGTAATAGACTGGTTAACAGATAATTTTTCTAAGTGCTAAAGCGTTTTGAAAATTGATTGGTCATATTCATTACAGCGGCGTTTTTGTTCTAATGCGATGCGTTTTTTTTTCGAAGTAGGCTGCATATTTCAGTGCACACTCTTACTGTTTCGACCTATGTCTAGGGAGAATCTGTTTTTGTATTTTTCCCTAACATCCATATTGTTTTATTTTGCTGAGCGAAGCTCTTTGCTGCGATCAAGACAGTTCGCGTGGTGCCACTTTTGCAACCGAAATTTATTGCAGGCTACTAGAATTCAAGTTGCTTGAAAAGCATCGAAGCGAATACGCGCAGCGATTGAGTGTGAAACTCTCTTCAGAATAGGTGGCATCGATGTTTTCCTGGACGGCTGCATGTGTTCTAAAATGCTGCTTGATGAATTCGGGCATGAGTAGTCACTGGTAATGAATTCAAGCCTATAAATTCTTAGATAAAACCGCGGGTGGTTTTGGTTCTAAATATTATCAGTGATCTTATTAACTTTTTTTCTCAGATTTCTCGAAATTGTCAATATTCCGAGTCCAGCCAAGAAGTTTGGGAGGGCTTTTAATAGTCGCTCAGTCCCCATAAAGATATGGGCCTGTGAATATTGTCATAAGATTAGATGTACCAATTTGGGTTTAATGTGCAGTTTTTTATAAATCATAATGCTTATGCAGCGTGTGGTATTCTGCAGCTTAAAAATTATTTCAACTTGAATCCAGATATCCTTGTTTAGTCCAAATAAGCCCCATCTTCTAGGGAATACTATTAAATTGTTCCTACAACCAGAAGCTGTTCTAGAACTTAGGTAGGAAAATTTTATGAAGGTTGTAAATTTTTTTAGAAAACCTCTATCCTTTTTCATAAAAACTATGAGAGAAAATCAAAAAAGGGTTAGCCAATTCAGATTTTGCTGGAGCAGTTTTGTTGTTTTATGTGCAATTGTAAATTTGAAAATTTTCAAACTAAAAATCAATTTTGATCAGTTAATAGTTTAAACTCTCTTCCCCGCCCATCAAAATGAATTTGAAGTTGGTTGTAACCTGCAACTTATCTAAGGTTTTGTTGTGGCAATTTGGGGGAAACTGAAATAAGAATCAGTTAATGTATAAAAATGATTACAAAGATGGCTTTTTGGTTGTTTAATTCAGAAATTGATATCCCAATAGACTTCTCTGGCTACGCCCAAAATATTTTTAGGGATTGAAAATTAGCCTTGCTAGAAACAAACTTCATTAAATGCGCATTATAATCAATGAAATACGGGAAATTAATATTTCCATGAATAGGTGATAAGGATGCCGGGCGGGGTTTGGAGGCTGGGCTATGAAATGTCATGAATGGACATTGATCGGTCGCATTTTAAATTTTGATTGGATATTTCTATTTTTTGCTGTTTGCAATCTAAATTTGAAAACTTTAAATGCAATTCTTTTTTCAATGACCTTTTTAATATTTGGAAGTAGTTCAATAGACCAAAAATATTAAGAACAAAAAAATGATTTTTATTATCCAACTGTTTACAATCTTGTTCTTCCAATTTGCAAATTGATTTTAACTTAATCAAAATTGCTCTAATCGAAAACAAAGCCTCTAGATTGAAAGGGACAACAACAACACAATACAAGCCCTGTGGCTACAAATGCACCGATCACAGTGGGAATCTGTAATATATTTTCGATTCAATCTGACTGACGGAAAATTTATTATGATATTCCTCCCTTTTCACTCTGTAATTTCCCCAGCCGAATGTTGAGACCGTTTTCAAATTAAATCAAGACCCCCCGACTAAGCTGAACAAATCAGCCTCCCGCAGTCTAGTCGACCCAAGCATTGTAGTTCATTTGATTGGCTTCTGATTTTAAATCCCAGAGAAAATCAAAATTTTAACATATTCATTTGAACTTTTTTTCTGAAAAATGTCGTTTTAGGATTCATGACTTTTGTTT